TTAAAAGAGGTAGACATATATCTGGAGATAACGGAAAAATGTTAAGATTTGTTACATGATTAATTACATTTGGAGTTTTGGTGTTACTACTAAAATTAGGTTATTTGGGATGAGTTAAAGTGATTAATTGTAATATTGTCTTATACTGTGTTGACTGAGTAGTTTTTTTTTTCATGGGAGGGTGCAATCCTGATCCGATGGCTTTCAATAATAAAAAGAAATGATTTGGGGGGGAATGTGTTAATGATTAAAGATTGACGTACTGTTTATGTTGTAAAGTAATGTGGAGTTAAATAGTATAATGTGGGTTTACTGTAAATACTGACAAAACAGTTGAAATCTGATTAGAAAGTGAAGAAAAGGTAAACATTAATGTTTGGAGCTAATTTGTAAAGATTGTGTCAGGATGATCAATTAAATTTGGAGTTTTTGGTTCACTTGTAGATGGAGTATTTTGGTTGAGTAACACGGATTACTTACAATTTTCTATTGTGTTGATTAGTGGGTTTTTGTTGTTGCGGGGGGGGGGGGTGGAGGGGTGTCTTTCAACTGACAGGATGAACAGAAATGGTTTTGGTGAAATTTGTGTTTGTGATAATAGGTTATGTGATTGTATCTTGTAAAATTTTGTTATAGTAAATTACTTAGAGTAAATAACAGCTAAACGGTAACATATTTAAAAATAGGAACTTGGAAAAACTGATATTTGTAAAGCAATTTTTGAAGATAATAGTAATTTAAGATCAAGCTACATGATTAAATTTGGAATTATGGTTGTGATTATAGTTAAATATATAAAACAAAAGCCAAAGAGCAAACTGTGAAACTTTTGAATGGCCCTTTTTTTTGGTCCAAAGATCTGTAGAATGGAAAACTTTATTTAAAAACAGAATACAGGCTTAAAAAGGTTATAAACACTTTTGAAAGGGTACTTTTAGCAAACTGAGGACCTTTAAGACTCTTCTGTTGCTTCATGACCTGTGTTGGGTGGAGTTGCTGGATCAGGACATCTGTAAATGGTTAAAAATAGTGAAACATTAAAAAAAATAAAAATATGTTCAGTCTTATTATACAGTCTTATACTTGGTTATGTGTGCTCTTGAATTTGCTACCCTGTAGTGACGTGTGGGAAAAGGGAACAAAAGGTTCTGAAGGTCTTCGTAAGGTTTCACAAAATAGATATTTGGATGTTACTCAAAAAATAGAAAGTGTCAGGGCACAGTTATCCGTCTCAAAGTGTTTTATGTCAGGGACATTCGGTCCAACTTTGAACCCAGGAAATCATTTGAGGTTCAAATGAGAGAATTTTGAAAACTGCTTTTGACATGTATCCCAATTTGTTCACGAGAACAAAGTGATGTCTCCACAGGGATACAGATTCTGGTATGTGTATGTCATGCAGTGCATTCAGACATGTAAGACTATTGCATATGCAGGTTATACACAAATGACAAATATTTTCATTAGAATAGCATGGGTAATACCAGTTGTCAGAGATTATACTATAATTGTAAATGTAAGCATAACTTACGTTGGGTTAATTTCTGTGATGTCTCTGTCAGGTTGTTTGCACAATACAGTCACTGTCAGAGGGAGTGCTGCTTGCAATTCATCCAAGTCTGAATCCAAAGCTCTCAGGAGCAGGTCTTTTGGGGCTTTGTACTCGTGCTCATCATTGGCAACCACTAGCTCAAGCAAGTCACTGTGAAATATGGCATGTGAATGAAAGATGTGCAATTAATTGTAAGAAAATAAAGCAGTAAAACAAAGTGTTTGTGTGGTTGGAGTGAGATTTTTTTCATGTTATGTCTGTGATCTAAAAAAATAACTAAAACCCGCCCAAGAACTTGATTTCATGTTTACATAAAAGCAATTGGCAACACATATTTTGGTGGAAGTATATTTATGGGGTTGTGTGAACAATAATAAAGCAAGTTACATGTACCTTGTTTTCTCTGAAAATGCCTCTATGGGTGATAGTGACTGTTCAGCAGTCAAGACCTATATAAAAAGTGTGGTAGTAAATAACAATTATGTTTATTTTAGATTACTGTTGGTACGCTTTTATGAATACAAGGAGTGGGGAAATGGTGGTTATGGTTCCTTAGATTTTTGTGGTGATTAGTTCTTTTAAATAGGCAAAATATTGTGAGCATGGAAAAGTCTTTGTATTTTGACTTTGAGCTGCAACAGTATGTGTTTTGTTTGGTTGTGTACATTTTTGTAATATGGTAACTATGGACATTAAAAACATGTTTTTGTACCTGAAATTCTGAATATTGAGTGCTATTGTAGTTGGGGCTGTTGTTAAATGGCTTCGAGTAGATGTATGTGACTTTGACAACAGTGTCTTGGGCTGGCATGTCCAGAGAAGCTGCATCTTTCCATAGGTTTACGGAAACGCGCCTCTTGGAATCTCTCGTATCTTGAAGTTCTATAATGCGTCGTTTGGATCGGTCTGTTTCTTTCAATGGAAAAACCTGCAGAGAAAGAGCAATAATTGTACACAAATATAAGGTATCCATGTGAAGCATGCCGAGATGAACTACCAGAGCTGCACTCATCCTTTTTGATTTTCTGGACAATTGTCCCAGAACTGATCTATCTCTCAACTTCTATAAAACCTTTGCGTTTAATAGTTGGCAGACAATCTGCAAGATATTTAGATGTACACGTACATGTATTGGGAGTTGAGAGATGAACCAGTTCTAGGGAAGTCATCCACAAAATCCATGAGGGGGTCATTCTTCAGTAAGTGTCTACTTTCACGTTTCTGGAAAACCGATTTTAAAAACTTAATTTGTGCAGCTTAGAATATTTTTTCATATAGATTAACATCTCTGGCATGGTAAAATCATGTTTTGCGCAATCTTTAAAACTGTAGAGTATCGTCCTCAAATAAATCCAAATATTTTATTGTTTCAGTATAAAGTACCGATTTTAAACCCTCATAACAGTTTACTGCCTCAAAAAGTGGTGATTTTCAGCAAAAATGGGGACTGTGACATTATTTTTCACCAAATTCCTCCTAAACAACATAAACTTCAGATGAATTAGCAGATGCACACTGTTCATTTATCAATTACAACTGATAATTTTATTCACTCCTGTATTATTTCACACTTTATGGACATACAATAGTCATGTGACGGATATGACTATCCGTGACGGAGATGATCAAGTTCAGGAGTGTAATGTGACGGAGATGACTTCAACTGTCATCAGGCTCCAACAGTTTGTTATGGTTGAGAACAAGATGTAATACTCAATATTAAATTGTCAAAACAAGTTTATATATTTCCACAACTTATAATATGCCATTCGACCTTCTAGAATGCACAGATTTTGTATGTTTCAATGCTAAAGCTACGGTTAGTAAAAGTTTTCAATGCAACATTTTTCAACAGTATTCAATGCAACAATTTGAATTTCTAACAGTATTCAGTCATTGTGTTGATTCAATGCAACACTTTTCAACGGTATCCAATGCAACAATTTTCAACAGTTTTCAACACAACAATTTTCAAAACAATTCAACTCTATTACAATCAGCAGCACATTTCTGCATTATATTAAGTGTGAGAACTAGACCATTACTTTAAAAAATGGTCTCTAGGTGAGGTCTGGCTCGCATTTAAGGCATGTTTTGGGACTCGCCCGTTTAATAATGCGAGCCAGACCTTAGTTCTAAGAGACCATTATATCTGGTAATGCTCTAGTTTGAACCGTATACATGTATAAATCTTTCATACAGGTGGAAAACCAATTCTTGTATTGGTGTAAAATGTAATACATGTATTTCTTAATGTTACCGGAAATAAAGTAAGGAATACATTTTCATGAAACAAATCACTGGAAATATCAGGATGGTAGTCACATACATGTGTTTGCACACATTTTTGTTTTCAGCCTCGTTTTTCTGTTTTTAGCAAATTTCGCACCATTCATATTTGAGTCATTTGTTTCTACATTTACATGTATTGGATATAATGGCAACAACATTTTTTTTTAAATGGCTCAAGAAGACATTTATGTGTCTCCCAATAGGCCACACACATTTTGTTTTTCAGAGGAATTGCACTGCATCTTGTTTCTAAAAATAAAACCCACATGGATGTGTGTTTCAAGAAGCTAAATTTGTGCACACTTTGTTTTTAAATTAAACACAATTCATATTTAATTTGATTCATTTGTTTCTACATTTACATGTATTGGATATAATGGCAAGAAAACATTTTTTCTTAAATGGCCTAAGAAGACATGCTTCCAGTAGGCCACACACATTTTGTTTTTCAGAGGAATTGCACTGCATCTTGTTTAAAAAAAAAACCCGCATGGATGTATGTTTCAAGAAGCTACATTTCTACAATGCATACAGTCGAACACTGATAAGAAGAGCACTGTTAGTGTTACTACAACATCCCGCTTTTAAAAAGGTAAAGATTAGGTCCCAAGTTTTTATTTTTCTTTGTTTCAATACTGTTAATACAAGGTATAGTATAACAAGGTATTTGTAAAGTCCCAAGGACCTCTTCTTATCAGTATTCGACTGTATATTTGTTTTATTTCAATCATTCAACATTAAGGTTTACAATAATTTCTTTCCAGTAATCTACAGCAACCTGGTGATGCCTGTTAGTCACCTTCTCAGGTGGCGGTATCCAAGTAACGATATCGTCATATTCATACCATATCTTGTCTTCCCTCAGTGGCCAAAAAAATCTATTTTTCCCCACTCTTGCCATGGAACTCACTTCTATTGAGTCTTGATCTATATCACAAATTAGGCCCGGATACGGTTCGCCCTCATATACTACATTGCAGAATTCACCAATCTTGGCATTCGCGAATGTCACAGGCTTTATGACTCTGTTTTGTGGTCTTACTGTCCTTTGCTCGGTTGTCCTGTGCTCGGTTGTCATTTGCTCAGTTGTCCTTTCCTCAGTTGCCCTTCGCTCAGTTGTCCTTTCCTCGGTTGCCCTTTGCTCGGTTGTCCTTTGCTAGGTTGTCCTCTCCTTGGTTGTCCTTTGCTCCGTTGCCCTTTCCTCGGTTGTCCTTTCCTCGGTGGTCCTTTTCTTGGTTGTCCGTTCCTCCGTTCGTCTTAACCTCGCCTGTGTTGTTTTGAAGCAGGGCATGCCATTGCAAAAGCAACTAAGCTCTCGATGGTCAACTACCTCAGGATCATCGGTGAACAGGACCTTTGGATCATACACACAAAATGAAATAATCCAAATAATGTTAATATTATTAATGATGAAAAGTGCCATCTTGGTCATTGCGAAGAAACTATTAACCATAAATTTTGGGATTGTGCTTCAGTTTACGCCTTTTGGAAAACGCTTGAAAAGTGTATGTGTTGAAATTAACAGAAATTAGTTGTAAAGATGTGCTAATAGGTTTCGAAAATCACCCAAAGTTTCTTGTTATATATGATATTATTTTATGTGCAAACAATTCTTTATATAAAAACCTGGTTTCAAAACATATTCTAAATCGTTTTAAATGAACTTGTCAAACAACAACGCTTTTATTTTCTTAGAATAAATCAACTGGGTTCATTTAATAGAAATGGAGAGGTTTAGTTCAGTTATTGCAGTTCAGATACTTCACGCATGCCGTTTATGTTATCAAAAAAATGTAAATACATGTATTTAATAATAAAAAAAGCTCACCTGATGTACTTTCATAGTTCCGTTGACGCTGATCAGGTCTGTTGGTAGTTTGTCGTCAAACTTGTTGATTTCTTCCTCTTCCAACAGAATCAAATTTATATTTGTCACTGGCTTGAGGGACTCGTACAGTTCATGTGCAGTTGGGATGTCTTTTCCTTGTGACACAAGCGAGTCCGCAGTTCTCTTCAAAACACCCCCTACACCATCAGGTGCCCCCTTCCCATGTCCTGCTTCCATGAAGTTCCAAGTCACTTTATCAAACCCCATGGTCTTTGGGATCGTCGATCCCAGCCAGAAGTTCTTTTTGTTTCTATACTGTGTTGTGGGCCCGTCCGAAATGAAGTGCACTGTCGTTACGGCTGGGTATCGTTGTTTTATTTCCCGCAAGACTGGGACAAGATGTCCCCAAATCCCAGGGGGATCGTGTCTAGTACAAGCCGATATGGTGCAAAATGCATGGCATCCATCGTAAGTATAATAAACTCCAGTGTGCAATGACGCCTGTTGGTGGGATCCACCAAAGTGGACACTTTGGATCTCCTCCGAGTATTTGCAGCCATAATTTTCAGAGAAATCTATATGCACTGCAACAGAATTTCCATCCAGGTTAGCCTTCAATTTTCGCAGCTCTGCATACTGATGAAAAATGTTGAAGTGATGGGTTGTAAAGCGAGGCTTCAGCTCAGCTTCATATTTCTCGCACAGTGAGGAAAGACTAATCTCGAAAGTCTCTTTCACAGTAACATTGGTTGACTTTCCATCACCATACAGCTTTTCCTTTGTAACCCACTGCTGATATTTAACTTGCTTGTCATGTGCAGGCAGCTGGAAATTTACTCGTTTCCCCTTGCATGCTTCACACTCTCCATACATACATGCTTTGTTATGGGTGTCGCAAACGGCCGACTTCATTGATTCTTCAACAGTAGCTGTAATTCGTTCCGCAGCTAGTTTCTGATTCATAAGGTCCATGTTGGTGCATCTCTTACACATGCAAGAGTCCAGGTCGCTGAGCGTTGGTTTCACTACCCACCAGGGCCTAAGCCTACAGAACGAGTAATGCATTGTCATTGTTGAATTTTCATACAAGAACTTCGCATGAAGCACTGTCAGGCTGTCATTTAACAGCCGTTTCTGCTTCTTTACCTTGTGTCTCGTGATTGTGTCTTTCTTGCCTGGCATCTGTCGGCTGTTGTCATCGCGTTCAAAGAAGTCGTTTAGCAACTGCTTTGTTTCGTCGTTCACCCTGTCGCTTCTCTGGACCCTTGCATAGTTCAGGTTTTTGCCCATATCCTTCCGGATAAGGCGATGAGCATTAACGCCAAGCGTCGATGACAAGCGTTTGACCATCCTGTATTTCTTTACTATGTTGCTTGCGGCGACTCGTCTTATCTTCTGCTTATCTCGAAGCATGTTGTTCTGCCGATACTTTTCACGCAATTCATCAAGGAGAACATGGTGAAAGACAAGTTCTTTTGTGACATCTCTGTCCACTACACAATGTCTTAGGAGCTTCCTTGTTTTCGAGCGTGGCGAATCTCCCATCTCAAGCAACTGTTCTTTTATCCTGCTGTACCTCTTCTTCCACCTCGCAACCAGTCTTACTTGTTGCTTTAATTTTCTCTTTGAGGCTTCTACTTGTCTGTAGGCTTTCGCTCGATCTCTCTTGACCTTCTTACGGCCTCTGTCAGTCCTCCGATCAACTAGTCGTCTTGGAGTTGGTGGAGGCAGATTTGCAGCATTAGGGACCTCTGGTGTTGATGGAGGACTGTCTGGAAGCACGTCATGGACATCTTTCTTGGCATCACGATATTTCTTTGTACTCCTTCGCCAACTTCTTCTTGTTATCCTCTGTTGTCGCTCACTCCTCTCTGCCATAGGAACATAGTTAGTTTTCTTGCGAACCCGCTCTTTGTCCATGTACCGGGATTTCTGTATTGGGTCACTCTTCAGACGATTACGATATCGTTTGGCGCGTTCTGCTGCTGTAAGAGCCATTCTGTGATGAGAAATTAAATTGAAAACTTACTGTAATAACTTGCGTATTGCTAGAATTAAATAAACAATGAACAACATACAGTTATATTTATGAATTAATTACCAGACCAAATCCAAGCAAGTACCTTAAAATTAAACTTACAAAACAAAATAAATTTACATTATACTTTACAAGCATAGACTTTGAAGTAATTGAATTTGACATTTCTTTAAAATGTTGCATTGCAAATGTACCAAAGTGGCGGCGAAAGATCAAAATGGCCGCTAATTTGACCCAACTTAAGACTAAAATTAAATTTGGAAAGATTTAACTTAAGTTTAATACCCCCACTTTAACCCTATGCACAAACCCTATGGACCTCGTCTAAACAAATCAATTTTTTTCCTATCAAGAAATTTGTTAACATTTTTCCACGTTAAAATCATGAATTCTCGTAAAATGTCAATTGAGGGTGATAATAAGGAAAATACAGCTGGGGTAAAGTATAATCTTACCTTACAATTAACTATTACTAAACAAAACAATGACAAAAACAAGTAATAAGAGTATTTTCTTGAAGAAAAGTCCCTCCACCAAATAAATATAACGATCAGAATGTTTACATAGTGCGATCGGGACATGGGTTTTTCGGGGGTCGACATCGAACATCAGAAAATAAATAACATTGAACAATTTATTTTCTAGCTTTTTATGATGATTTATTGTATGAAATATGTTAATTAACATAAATTAAATAAAAAACACATCATAGAATAACGAATTTTCCGTCTATACGGCGTCAAAGTATCGGGACACGAAAGTAGACACTTACTGAAGAACGACCCGAGGGTTGGTAGCTCAGAGTTACGTAGCCCCATAAATGTGGCCTATATACTGGACTGCCTCCGTAAACATAGGCCACACGTCTACATGTACAAAAATTGTGTCGACTTTGCCAAATTTTGATTTTCACATTTAGGCTTAGTTTGTAGGATTTTTTTGCTTTAGAAGCATACTCACCCACTTTATAGGCTAATCAGAAAGTGCTGCCTTTTTCAGATGTATATTTTTCGTGAAATTTCCAGATTCATTTTTACACGTTTGCGTATCAAAATTTCAACATGAAATTTCACAAAAATTAGACATCTGAAAAAGGCAGCACATTCTGACTAGCCTATAAAGTGGGTGAGTATGCTTCTAAAGCAAAAACATCCTACAAACTAAGCCTAAATGTGAAAATCAAAATTTGGCAAAGTCGACACGATTTTTGTACATGTGGACGTGTGGCCTATGTTTACGGAGGCAGTCCAGTAAATAGGCCACATTTATGGGGCTAAGAGTTACGTTGTTAATTGTTACAAAACATATTTTTTTTTGTGTTACGTTTTCTTGTTTTACAATGACTGTGAAACATATGTGTAAAAGAAAGGGGAAGTATATTGTGTTAAGATGTTAAATTAATTATTGAAATGTCCAATAAGCACTGATGGATTTTTTTGGGTTAATAGTCAAATATTGATTGATCAGTATTTGTAGAAAAGCATGAGGAAAGTACCTCTTTAAAAAACAGTGCTTAAAATCATGCATTTTTTGGACCTTATTGGGAGTCTTTGAATAAGCAAACTTCTGTTTGGCTCACATACCATAGATAATTTTCTAAATAAACATTCACCAGTGATTCACGCAGCTGAATTTTTTTTTTCAATGTTTTGAGAACTTATTTTTGCAGTTAACTGAATGGCTGTTTCTTGGTAAATTTTTAAAAAAGAGAAAGTAACATTCTACATTTGTAATTTTTTTTAACACTGTTGTTGAATACTTTACACAATGAAATTTATTGCTGATAAAAGGGAGCTCTACCATTCAGCTAGGATAATTAAGAAAATTGTTTATAGGATTAGTGGTGATGACAATCTGAATTCTTCCATTCTTTAAAAAAAGGGTTTTTGAATTGAAGTAAGCTTGGTAGAGATTGTTCAGGTAAAAGGTCCATAATGCCATATGTAATGTAATTTAGCATGGAAGAAGAGTAGATGTTTATATACAGGGTGATCATATCCCCGAAAAATCTTCTTTTTTTTTTTACTAAAGATTAGCTTATATCTTTCAGTAGTTTTATAGAACAAAAGTTGTATGCAAAATAATGTCAACCACCATTGTATAATATTGAATATTGTATGCAAAGCACTTTGTATGCATTCTTTGTCTGGTATGCGGTCACTTCGGCACCTTGCCAACTCGGCACCTGCCAACTTGGCACCTTGGCAATTCGGCACCTGCCAACTTGGCACCTTGCCAACTTGGGACCCACCAACTTGACACCTGTACAAAAACCAACTCGGCACTTAGCCGACTCAGCACCTGACCAACTGGGCATCTCCCCATGTTTGGAACTGTTTCCCTTTCAGGCCTGACGTTATCAAAATACATGTACAATGGTCAATATAAATCATGTAGATGGGGTTGCTTGAACCATGGAGCTATAAACATTGTTTTTTTATAGCTCCTTACTGGAATTAAATCCTTCAAACTTTTGTTTAAATCGCCATCGCCACAGTGCACTGCCTGTGATAGTGCTGGCCTGGCCACACAGCCCACCGGCCATCGCCACGGTGCAAGGCCACGATGGTGCCGCGCATGGCTGCACAGTGCCACCAGTTCACCCCTCCCTCCCCCCCCCCAAAAAAAAAAAATGAATAAATAAATAAGTCTGTATTGGGGTATTGGTTGTGAATAACGGCAAAAGAGCATTTGCTTTTGGGAAGACAGGTGCCAAGTTGGTCAGGTGCCGAGTTAGTCAGGTGCCGTGTTGGAAGCTAGTTGTGAGAGAGAGGCCAAATTTGGGTGCCGAGTTGGCCAGGTGCTGAGTTGGCTAGGTGCCAACTAGGTGTTGAGTTAGCAAGGTGCCGAATGCCGAGTTGGCAAGGTGCCGAGCTGGCAGGTGCCGAGTTGGCCAGGTGCCGAAGTGACCGACATTCCTTTGTCTTTACCACTGAACTGGTTTTAGATGAAGATGACACATGCAAAAGCTGTGTGTTTCAAATGTAGATACTATTTAGGTTGCTGAAATAGGTATACTGTATTTTTTGGCAATGAACAGTCCTTAACTGTTGTTAAATAATGTGACTACATGTATGTATTCTTACAGTTTTCACCGTTCCCATCATGGAGAATCTGGAGAAGTAGTCATGGTGTTCTGCTTGTTCAACAGACAAACTCTTTGGGTTGTAGAACGATTGCATTGCTGGGCACTCTGTATCAAAGAGCTGTCCGCGATGAATCTGTAATAGCAATGCAAAATAATAAATAACACTGTATTGAGTTAAATTTAGAAATTTGTTATTCATGATTGAATATTTGAAATGTAGTAATTACATGTACATATGAAATGTGAGGTTTTTTCGAAATCAGACTTATGTGAGGAAAATCAGTTTTGTGATATTTGGATAATGTTGAATTTGATTTTTTTCTGTAAGTTGTACGGAAAAAATATACCTGTTTACGTTCATCATTTTGTATACATAAGAGCATATTGCATAAATGTGCATTACGTGTATTTAATAAAGTACACCACGGTCTTCTTTTTGTGGTGAAAGATTGAAGTGGATAAAAGTATATATATATACGTGTAAGTGGAAGTGAAATTTGTAGTTCGAGTAATAATGAACTAGTAAAATATAGAGAAAACTTTACAGAGATTTAAATTAAAGTATAAACTGTATAAGATAATATTTGTGATTTTGACATGTATTTATTCATTAGGTTTGAAAAAAGATCCATACAGCAAGACAGTGTTGTATTGAAATCCATGTCAAGTCCATCACAAGTCCATGACAAGTTCTTTCACAATACCTTTCACAAGTCCAGTCACAAGTCCTTTCATAAAGCCAGTCAGACATGTCAGCAACAGAGTGAACAATGACAAAGGAGTGCTTTTGTTACAGTTCATTTGAATATAGCTATTGACTTGGTTTAAGACTGGAAGACTTGTGCTAGACTTGTGATGGACTTGACTACAAGACTGCAGTGGGTTTTTTTTGTCTTAAGTATTTACAAAGAGAACAGTTTAGTTTCGTAGCCTTTGTGACAGGGTATCAAGTGATGTCCATATGGTTTTTTTCCCCGAAGTTTTAGACTGTACCTTGGACCTGTTGGTGAGTCGGACAACCTCCTGTCCTGTCGATGATGTCAGTATGTTTGCGTAGCTTGCACGCAAAAACATTCCTTTCTTTAAACTGGGAAAGTGCTCAGGAATACTTGTGTAGAGTGTTTTCACGTTGAGGTCTTTCATCAACACATCAATGCATTGATCAGAACCTTTTCTTGGTTCGAGGTGACCTAAAGTGTAGAATATGGTAGTTGTCATTCCGGTAGATCTGTCAAAAGAAAAGAGAATTTTATGCATTTAGAAATAAAGGTACAATGTAATGCCCATCATTTGCTCAACCATAATTGACATTCTTTTGTTGAAAAGATTTTTTGTTTATTTGTAGAGCCAGTAAAGAAAATTCGGTGGACGATTTATTTAAAGATTACCATTGTGTACAATTATATTAAGTAGAGTATAGTATTAGGTACTAAAGTTTTTATGTTATACTCAAAAATGTTGATTGGTAGAAAAGAGTTTTGAGTTTAGATTGTTGTGCAGAAAGAGTGCAGTACAGTGATTTCATAAAAGACAGGCATTGTTGAATTGTTTAACAGATATGAATGCTGAGATTTGTTTCTGTACATCATTGAATAATAGACAATGATAATGTTTTTGGATGTTAGTAGGTTTAGAACTAAATTGCAAAAGTGGGGTCAGGGTGCAGCATTCAAAAAGACTGTTGGATTAATACATCCTCTGTCCAATATTTTGGTCATATATCATTCCGATAAAGCTGATCAATTACCGAAGCAATACTGAAAACGGAAAGAGTTCCATACATGGACAATGGTA